AACTTACTAAATTCTGTGAAACACGAATTTTTAACATATTTCGTGTAAAATCTACCTGCACTATGACAATTCTTACAGTCGACTACACAGTCTGCACTTAAATACTACGAATCAGTTATATTCGTTAAATGCTTATTTCAAGTTACACCTCGTTAAGTTACTATGATCGTAAACTGGGTAATTTCTTTGCACTGGTCATTTTAAGGCCTGTAGATAAAGGCTATATACAATAAAACCATGATACGTAAAAGAACGCATTCACTACGCCAGGTTTACCTCGAATTTCTTAGATTCATCAACGGTTTATGGCGGGCTATGTCTCGTCAAATCTTTCTTTCAAGGTTGCCATCGTGAAAATGTGCTTTGTGGTCCTTTTATCTTTTCGAATTGCGCTGAACCAACATTCGGCTGGCCATCAAATTAGGCAGGGAAACATTCTGTGCGGGGCCAAATAAGGTGAATGCCCTAAAAACGGCCCTTTTTCTTCACAGTGTCTGGGCTTATGTAGCTTCAATTGCATCCAGTTCTCCTTACTTGTTCAAAATCTTATTTAGAGGTCGTAGTGTCAGTACACCAGCGGTCGTTTGAGCAAAGAATGATCTCAAAATAGTTTTATGAACGAGTGATTTTTACGAGTTTAGTTACGAGTAAAGTTTTCTTGAGTTACACGAAAAAAAGCTATTCTATAAGATACTAGGTCCTTTATGGGGCTTCTTGGAAGGTCCAGAAAATGCAGCCACACTTTGGGTGAGGCCATGTTTATTTGATTTTATGGATGCCGTCGACGCGCGCATGAATCTTTTTCCCTTTCCAAAATAAGATTTCGCCGATTAAATCATACAGTACAAATCATATTGAAATCGTACTGCCTTTAGATTATACTGCAGCAGGTCTATAAGCTGGGTGCAATTTCAATGAAATATTTTCTGACAACTTCAAACAAATAATACTTTAAGCTTATCCTGACCTATTCGTAAGGCTTACTAAGTGAATTAGTTTGTGTGACCCAGGTCATCTGCATGAGGATCATCATTTGCATAATTGTGACTGCCAATAATGTTATCTATCTTTGTACCGATCTGTCCCGTCTGTGGGCAGACTACATAGATAAACGGATTGTTAGATTGACAGATAAGGGCTAAGTAAACGGAGGTCTTCATAATATAGCCACGCCAATTGTCATGCCTCTAAAGCTAACGCTTTAAAAGAAGAGTGTGTTTTACAGAAAAATGTCATCCTAAAGTTTGTACACTTAAAAATATAATTTAGGTTTTACGTTTTTGCCTAATGGCGATCGATCGAATGTAGAACTAGAAAGGATAATGGTAAACTAAACACCATAATCCGATTATTTGCCGAATGTAGGGCAGGGATTTATGTTTGGAAATGATCGATAATGTCTTTCGTCTGCCACTAACGGGTTTAAGCCGTAGATTTCCTAGGTTAAGTCTTTCCATCAAACAATAATCCCCCAAGCCTGGCACCTTGTACCTTCTCTTTACGCAAGAATCAATAACTTGTATTTTCAGTTCGCATAGTTAAAACTAGCACTACTTTCATAGCATTACTTCGTACACTACACACATTGATTTTGCCCAGTTTCTTCCTCTTCTTCTTCCTTTACAACAAATAATGACCAGGACCAGACGTCTATCACCATAGTAACTGGTGTTGGATTACATAATGTTGCAAGTGCCATGCAGAACCAAACTCCAGAGGGCTGCATGGTAACTATATACGAGTGTCTTTGAGTAAGAATAACCAAAGAAGCTGTTGTTGTGTGCGTCCCTTACCTATACGCGTGTAGTCACACAAGCTCTGGCGATACTGGCGAGTGTTGCAGCAGTTTTCTTGCTTGCAAACGATATTTGGCTGCCCTATACTTTCGGTACGGCTGGACAGCCCAATACGAAAATAACAGTTTTTGCCGCATAGAACAAAACACTTTCCTTGCCTAACATACGAATTCCACAAACTCCTACACGAGCCGCAACACCACCGTCGGCTATATGCAGGTGTGAGAATATCAGGTTACGAGTTTTCCCGCGTGCGGCAATCTAGGTTATGACTGATAAAAATGATCTGTCACAGTAACTGTGAATAAAACATCTTTGCATTGTAGTGTCAGCTTATGCATGAGGCAAATGATTTCAGTCTAAGAGAAACTGACAACAGACTTGAGCTCTAAGATAGCTCGAAACATGTTTACGTCTCTCATAGAACACAATCGGCATGTCAGGTTTAGAAGATTCCCGCCATTGCCAAGCAGTGTCCTCAGTGAATTACAACCAATCAGCGTGCCCGGTTTAGATGATTGACAGATAGATTCCCGCCATTTCCAAACAGCGTCCTCAAAGAATTACAACCAATCAGCGTGCCCGGTTTAGATGATTGACAGATAGATTCCCGCCATTGCCAAGGTGGGCCACGTGAAGGTAAACATGATGTGTTTGCTTTGCAAATGTTACCTTCAGGCTAGTTTTTACCTACTTGTCTATTTTCGTTTCCAGGAGGAGAGCCTGCCCCCCGCTCCCTCCCCTCCCGTATCCTGGCCGGTGCCTGGTGGTTCTTCACCCTGATCGTCATCTCCACCTACACGGCCAACCTCACGGCCTTCCTCACCGTCAAACGGCTCGTCGCACCCATCAAGTCCATAGACGACCTGTCAGGGCAAAGTGCGATCCCGTACAGTGTGACGTATGGGACGTTCTTGTACAGCTTCTTCGAGAGCCAAGTTGGTGAGAAACATGTTTCAACACTTAGGACTGCGAGAAGCATACACACACTTTAACAACTACATGAAATACAAGTTAAGTCAGAGTTTATTGCGCAACAATTGTATTGAGGAAGACTAGAGTGACTGGTCGAAAGCTTAAGGTGAGAGATTTTTAAGGTGAGAGATTTTTTGTGTGTTGGATATAAAGTTTTAACTTCAAACATATATGGTATTCTTTTCATCTCAGGTACGGGGTCCGTGTACGAACGCATGTGGTACTAACATGAAGCAGATTCTCGACTCCAAATGTGATCTCGATTGGACTTTCTGTTGACAGAGACTGCGACCGGAATCTTTACCTGTACACTCACTGATTCTACCAGATATGAGTCTGTATTCTGACATACGGTATTCTTCTAATCTCATCAGGTACGGGGTCCGTGTACGAACGCATGTGGTACACCATGAAGGCCAACAACAGATTCCGGTCAGCTTGGAATCGGCATTTGGACTTTCCGTTGACACCTGTATTTTACAAGAAAAATAAAACTTGAACTTGAAGATATAAGCCTGTGTTCTGACATATGTTTTTTTTAACCTCAGGTACGGGGTCCGTGTACGAGCGCATGTGGTACACCATGAAAGCCAACAACAGATTCCCAATCAGCAGCATGGCCGGTGTGGACATGGTGCGGAACGAAGAGTTCGTGCTGATTGAGGAGACCCCGTTCCTGGAGTACGCCGTCAGGACTGATAAGAACTGCGGCCTGATGCTCCTGGGAAAACCCTTCCTCTTCAAGGGATACGGCTTCGCTACTGGCAGAGGAAGCCCCTTGAAGAAACCGCTATCTGTTGGGTGTGTTTTGATTGTAGTAGATTCAGATTTTATTCCCAGTGACATTGCAGGTACCATATCAAATCAATACCTGAAATGCGTCATTGCTAACAGATCCGCCTTTAATTATTCAAGTATTCAAGAATCCGAGTATAAAACTCATGATATGTGATAAAATACTATTCTAAAAGTCACAGTTGGTGATATCAGGTAACCTATTCACAAAATGTTTCTGTTGAGAGCAGCAGACACGTACATGTATGAGCGTGTGTTACAGGTCAGCTCAAACAAACTCACTTTTGATTGTAGTATGCATGGGTATGCATAGCCCCTAAGTTAAGCAAGCCTCGTGTGACCAACTTTGCCGACAGTCAGAAAACTGTTTGGCCCGGGAAAAATGTTTGTTTTGTTTTGTTTTCCGACCGACCCTAACAAACCTGCCAACCCTAGCCTTTTTTCCCTGGAAAAGCTATTGGGCACCTCAACTTCAGACTCTTCACTTCATGCATTTTACAAGGCGATATTTGACAGGACTTATGAATTGAAAAACAGCTCATGATAATTAAAAAAGTACGTGGTAGGATTAGCCAATTACATAACACTAAACTTACATGTTCTTCACATCACCAGTTTGCATTTACCTCGGGATACCCATGAATTATAAATCATAGTCTGAAAAGAAATATGCCTTTCTAAGAAACATGAAAATGGATACCATATAGTGTCTAAACTCGTAAATTAGATTTACCACTTCTTATATTTCTAGGAAACAAAAATGTCATCTCTCATTCAGCAAATCCGTAAATGCGACAGACACAACTAGAACAAATGTAATTTTTCCTTAATTTTGTTATAGAAATCACGAGTAAGAGACTAAAGTACCTGTCCTTGAGATATATTGATTTTCAAACCACTCACAGAGCCCACATTACGACGCGGTCCCTGCATTTCTGTTACCCACATGATTTTATATCCCTTGGGGTGTACTTCCCATCGACGTCCATTATCGCTCACAGCCACATCAGGGCTCGAAATACTGGGTGCATGTGTACCTTAGTGCACCCAGATTTGGAGCTGTGCACCCAATTTTTTTTCGTGGGTGCACCAGTGTACCTAAATATTTTCATAGGTTACGTATGTTAAGTGTTAAATGTAAAGTAGTACACGGCTACTACAGCATATTCATAACATCTACGTGTAAAAAAATAAAATCATTTTTTGTAGCACTTTCCTTTAGAAATGAAAACATAATTAGTTTTTATGACATTCTAC